TAGGAGCTGGAGCTGCACCCTTGTTTCAAAGAGGAGGCAGAAAGGTTGAAGTCGCAGCGAATCATGGAGGTCAGAAAGGAGCTGAGCTGGGAGAAGGAGCGCAGCCACATCGCACTCAGCAAACTACAGGATTGGTACTGAAGACACACACACACACACACACACACACACACACACACAGTTGGCTAAAATGGCATAAAAGAAGTTTCTGAAAGTTTCACAGAAAACAAGTGGACAAATAAATATATCGCTGTGAACGTTTCGTCCTCTAAATTCTGTACAGTTTGAAAGTTGTCCATGTTGGTAAATAGGTTTATCTAGTTTACTGCACATGCTTGATTGTGAATTGTTTATGCTTTGAATGGTGGATACGAAGCCCTCCTCTCATGTGTCCGTTCACAGGTTCGGAGACCCTCTGGAGGTCAGTGTCATCGACGTAGTTGCCATCCGCAGCGACCACAGAGTCTCCACCTATCGTTTGCCGAAGCTCACCGAGTCCTCTCAGCTCAGACATCAGGACACGCCCAGCTGCTCTGACCGAGACGAACACGTCACATCGGAAAGCAAGAAATCCAGAGCTGAGCCTGAAAAAGTCATCAGTGAAATAGAAGGTAAGCAAGTGTCAGTGTGTTTGTTTGTCACAGACGTGCTTGACCTTTAACCCATGTGTGTCCTCCAGAGGAGGAGGTGCTGCGCCCCCAGGTGGTTCGTTCAGCAGCGATCAAACTGGGTGATCGGCAAGAAGAGAGGCTGAGAAAAGCTGCAGTGAAGGCTGAACAAGCTCGAGCCAAAAAAGCAAAGAGGATGCAGGAATGGGCTCAACTGTGAGTGGGACGATCAACGTCGTATCTACGTGGAATTCATTGATTAATTGATGATGATTCTGATTATTGGTGCCTCAGTTACGCAGAGAAACCAGGCGAGAACTATGAGGATCCGCAGGATGTGCAGAACATCAGCGAAGCCCGAGAGAACATCGGAGACTTAAAACTAAAGACCGACAAAGACTTCAAGGTGCCGAGACACCTGATGATGACCAGTGGGAGGAAGAGAGCGGAACTGAAAGACCTGGAGGAAATGGTACACACATATACTAACACACATATACACACTGCCTCATTTACAGGTATATCTGATCCGTTTAATGACTCCCTCCATCTTACAGACCCGTGACAAGCAGGCTGAGCTGAATGGACGAATCGTGGCGTTGCGGGACACCAAGGTTCACCTGGTGTCTCAGTTGAACGCTCAGGCTAAGCAGCTCCGAAAGGTCCAGCAGCGTCTGCCGGCCCGTCTCCACCGCCCTCCACCCGTCCTGCCGACCCTGCTGCCAGAGGAAACCCCAGAGAAGAGGCTGCAGCCCAACAGAGCTACCCTGGAGCGATACCGTGTTCTGAGGGAACAGAGGTACAAGAACCAGGAACCACACTCACTTCACAGTGACGTCTCTCTGACAGCTGGTGTTTTGATTTCAAAAGTAAATCTACTGTTTTATTGTTTTAGCAGGTTTAAGGGCACACAGGAGGACGAGGAGGAGGGAACTACACGTCTGTTGGAGCAGCTGGAGAAAGAGATGGAGGATAATCAGGAGGGAGAAGAGGTGACATCAAGAGAAGAAGAAGAAGAAGAGGAGGGGGAGGAGGAGGAAGTGGAGCTGACTGAGCTGGAGGAGGAGCTCCGCCAGGAGGAGGAATTCACACTTGTGTATGAGCAGGACTCTCTGCTGGAACAGGTCTCTGATCACCAGTCAACTTCAGATTAAATGTGTAAACAACATGTTGTATAACGTTTGTTTTGAAATCATCAGATGGAAACATCAGTGATTCAGTTTGATGCAGAGCTGCTGCAGCTGCGTCACCAGAAGCAAAATCTGGACAGGGAGCTGGCGTTGGCGGACCTCCGTCAGATGACACTTTACCAGGAGCTGCTGCTCCTCCAGGAGTTAGAGAGGAAGGAGGGCAGCCTGCAGGAGAAGTTTGACGCATGTTTAAGGGAGGAGAACAGCATCGTGGTGCGTGGGAGTTTATGCACCTGTGGACTTGGTGATGTGGACGTTCTCCTCATATTATCCTCGTGTTGTTGTTTAGCTCAATCCTCTTTATCCCGACAGTCAAAACTGGAGGAGCGTAAGGAGCAACTGCAACTGAAGCAGAGGGACATCGTCAAGCTGCAGGAGAGAGAGAAGGCTCTGCTCACCGCCCTCCTGGACTCGCTGGGCGAAGACAACAAGTTTGAAAAGTTTCTCATCAAAGTCTTTGAGAAGAAAATCAAACGTGTGAAGAAGAAGGAGCAGAGCGGAAACAACGGTGAGGTCGGAGTAACGAAACACAGTACGTTGGATCGTGAGATGCTGTGTGTGTGTTTTCTTCATGATCCCAGTGTGTGTTTGCAGAAGAAGAAGTGGAAAGTGATGAAGAGTCTGATGAGGAAGACGACTGGGATGACGATGATAATGATTACGACAGCGATTCAGAGGGAGGGAGTCTGGATGACAGCGTTTGTCCTCCAGGTCAGTACCGACTGCAGACAACGACTCAAACAGGTGAAGTTCGGGTTCAGTTGTGGCCTCAAACATGTTGCGTGTGTTTCAGGCTGTGATCCGCAGTTGTTTGAATACACACTGCAGCTGCGTGAGCGTCGGCTGAACCTGGAGGAAATGCTGGTGGAGGAGAAGAAGTGTGTTGAAGCTCTGAAGGACGAGTGTGACGCCCTCATCAAGAAGGTCAAACTTTGATTTTCATCGTCCTGTCTGCCGACATGTTTCTGTAACCACTGACATCCTCGTGTGTGTGTGTGTGTGTGTGTGTGTGTGTGTGTGTGTGTGTGTGTGTGTGTTGGCTCTGCAGGAGAAAATGGTGAAGAGCAGTTTTAGAGCGGTTGATGACGACTTGGAGTTGGTCAACAGAGAGAAACAGCAGAAAATGAACGAGCTGGATGTGGTGGTTCCTCTCAGACTGCACCAGGTGATTAGTGTAACTGCTGATGAAAGTAAAACAGATGCGCTTCTTGCTCATGTCGGAAATGTCGGCCTCCGCTCTCTTGGATTTTTCCTCAGGTCTGCTTTAGCTTTACTTCCTTGAGAATCCACGGCTTTATTTACAGTCTTTCACTGAGTCCTGCTCTGAACGTGAAATGCTCTAGAATTAAGAGAGGTCAAAAACCCACATGCAGAGATTTTATTTTAATATTATTATAAGAACACATGCATCTCTTCATGCCAGACTTGAGACTTTTCCTTTCTCCTTCTCTTGTCCGTTTATCTGCCAGATTAAGTTTGTCGTCGACGGCTCTGTGCCATTGGATCTGACCGAGGCTTTGGTGGTGGACAGGGCGGAGCTGACCAGGCTGAAGGAGCGCATCAAGCAGCTGCAGGTGGAGAAGACTCAGCAGAGAGAGCTGAAGGTTAAGGCGCGGCAGCATCACACCAGGCTGCGCCACGAGTGCAAGGACATGAAGGCTCGGGTCCAAGGTGAGAGGCTCCCAGCGTGTAAAGTCTCAACACGAGATATTAAGATGCCAAATATACAATTCACAGGAAAGACGCCACTTCTTTTGTCGTGAGTATTTCAGGTGCCAGAGAGTCAGTGGTATGTTTACTGATGTGTGTGTGTGTGTGTGTTGCTGTAGAGCTGGAGAAGGAGTGCGACAAGCTGATGATGATGAAGTTTGGGCGGCTGGTGGATCTGGAGGCTCTGCAGATACTGTCGGGGAACAGGAAGCTGGAGGTGCTGAAGCAGGAGAAGCTCAGTCAAGAAGCTGCATTCAACAAAGAAATCAAACAGTGGGATGTACGTTGTCCGTTTGTGTGTGTGTGTGTGTGTGTGTGTGTGTGTGTGTGTGTGTGCTTTGATAAGAGTGAGATAACTTTATCATTCACTTGTTTTCTTCTATCCACTTGTTTTCTCTGTGTGTGTGTGCGGTCCAGGCGAAAGTCCGCAAGGCCTATGAGGCTCTGATGGAAGTCACCAGACAGAACACGGAACTTCTCCTCAGAAAGTCAAAGCTCCTCGAGGAGACGATGGAAATTGAGCTTAAAATCGAAGCCAGGCAGAAAAAAATTGTAATTTGTATTTTCACACGTTGATCAAAGCAGAGACATATTTAACACGTGTTATCAATGTGAAACGTTTTCATGCTCTAATGTTCAGAAAACACTCTCCTCCCTGCTGCAGCTCCTCCTTTCAGCCTCTGTCTGAAACTCTTGGCTGTGGAACGTATGTGTGTCTTCATCTGTGTGTTTGTGTATCCAGGCTGTCAGACAGCACCAGGAGGACAAGAGACGTGAGAACCTGAAGGACATAGTTCGGCTCAAGTCGCTGGTGAAGAAGCAGTCGTCTCAGATCAACGCCATCAAGAGTGAGATCGAGGCCCTGTCCCATAAAGGAGGCCCAGTGGTGCCCTTCATCCAAACAACCCAGCTGCTCACACCAACCCCAACCCGCCCCAGCGACCCCACACACCCTCCCGAACCAGGACCATCGCGTCCGTCCGAACATCAAAATTCACGCGGTAGAAAGGGAACTTGTTAATGCGCAACACAAACGTATTCACAGGTATTGTAAGACTCTTTCTGGTCCTGATGACCACTCAAAGCACTTTATTCATACATATAGTGCATCTGTTAGCAGCACTTCTTGCTGTTCTATGGGGTCATTCAGGGTTCATCTTGCTGAACTTCTGACCTTCTGGTTGGGGGACGACCACTCTACCCCTCAGCCACAGCCACCCCCACTCTGTTGTTATATTAAACCAGGAGGTTGGTTCATCGCCTGCTGTTCTTTGAAGAAAATTAAAAATGAATGTGATGTAAAAATATTGAATAAAAACAGGGTTTAACTGCTGCACGTACTGAGTTTGAATATTTTCAAACAGACAATAGTTAGAACTCATTGAGACAAACACGACAGGGAGAAACTGGGATTTCAAAATTCCAGTGATGCAGATGAGAAAGATGTCCATCACCAAGGAAACAGGACGCCAAGGGCGACACCTAGTGGTACAACACAGACATTAGAAAGATGTTCCAACAAAGTGAAGGGCTCAGGAAAGAGGAGAATCATTTAGATTCTTTGTGACGGGAAGATTTTAAAGGTCTTTAACACAACACACATAAGATGGCAGATGGTGAGAGTGGTGCGATATAGACCCGATAATTATTCAATATTACAAACGTCCCATAAAGAGCAGTCAGCTGTGAGAAGAATGAAGCATCACAAGTTTCAGAGGCTCAAGATTTAGGTTATTTACAAATGCACATGTGGACAAATGTGGGTTCAGGGTAAAAAAACAGCAGAAGGGAAACATGTCCTGTTATTTCCTTCAGTGACGTGTGGTGCGTTGGTTTATCTTCGTAAAATGTTCCCGTTGTTATAAAACAGGTTTTTTAAAGTTTCCGGCCTGAAATCTCTGGTGGTTGTTCTTGATTATAAAAGACTGAAACTTCAGACGAGTTACTCACAGACACATTTATAAACATCATCTTCCTCATTGTGTCAGAACAGAAGTGAAGCGATGACGTAAATAAGAAAAAGATTTATTTTATAGTTGGAGGAAGAAAACATCACACATCAGAATTTGTAAATCTGTGACGAGAGCAAAACAATTATTAGAATCCAATAGCATCGAGTATGTGCTTTACATCCCATAATCTTCATAAACATCTTACAGTATCCACAGTAACACTTGAACTCGTCTGAAGGCACATTTTATCTTTGTCCGTCAAAGGGGAGGTTCAATTAGATGCTTAATGCATTTTACCTTCATCTGTGTTCATTAGTTTGTTTGTTGGCAGGATGACACACAAAGTGTTGGACAGATTTACAAGTTGGAGGAGAGACGGGACCTCGGTCAAGACAGAATTTATTCAAATGTGTCATCGATCGGGACAAAGGTTGTTTTATCACTTTCTTTAACATCGAGACCCAAACAGAATTAACAAAACTATGAATCTGTGGAACAACGAAACTGATCCATGAACTGAAAATAATCCAGTTACAACTATTTAAGTAACTGACACCAAACAAAAGACAGATTCACAACAAGCTCCTTTTTGAAACTAAATGTTTGAATTATATAAGTTATATAAAATAAGTTGCAGAAAGTACGTTGTCTTTGCCCAGTCTGTCCTCCCTCCACCCCCCAGTCTTTCCTCTCTCCACCCCCCAGTCTGTCCCCCTCCACCCCCCAGTCTTTCCTCTCTCCATCTTCCAGTCTGTCCTCCTCCACCCTGTCCACCGGGTTCACAGAGCAGCCAGCTCCTGCAGCAGCGTCTCCTTCTCCCGCTGCAGCTCCACGATGCTCTGCTTGTTTTGCTCCAGCCGGTCCTCCAGCCACTGCAGCAGCGGCCCGCTCACCGCCGACATCTGGCTGCACAGGTTCTTGGTGAACACGGAGCCGTTGTGGATCTTGGTGACGGGGTCCAGGTGCGCCAGGCTGTGGATCTTGCGGTACGTGTCCTGCTCCTCCTGGCACAGGATCCGCGGCAGCTCCACGGCCGACTCCAGGCACACTTTGCCGATGGCCTCGCGGGGCACGACGTGGATGGGGATCTCCACGCGCTCGTACTCGGAGCCCTTCTGCGCCTGCACGGACTGGAAGCAGGTGTACAGCACCCGGCCCGTCTTGGTGTTCTTGTCCTCGATGAAGCAGGAGAAGATGAGGCCCACGAAGCACTGGTCCAGCATCTGGTACATGGCCTGGGTGCGCACGTCGACGTGGGACGGCCACACGGTGATGTGAGGGTGGGAGTGGTACCAGCCGACCACCCGCATCGACCTGCCCGTCATGTCCGCCAGCCTCTCCGCCTCCGTGGAGGCCGCGGACAGCTGCTCCGGGGAGATCTCCACCCGGTCCTTCCTCTTGTCGGAGCGGCGGAGGATGATGACGGAGTGGATGTGGACGATCCGCGAGGTCTCCACCTCCCCGATGCACAGACCCATCACCTCCTCCTTCTCCGTGCTCAGCGCGTGGTTCATGCACACCAGGAAGGCGTCGGACTCCAGGTGAACCGCGCTCACCGCCATGGTTCCCTCAGGTCCGCAGGTTTACCCGGAAAGAGACGAAGACATGAGACATCAACACAGGAGCAGAGCTTCACTTCCGCGTTCTCGCGTACTGCGACAAAAACATTCCGGGTGGCTGCGGTGACCTGACAAAGGTTCCGCTCTGTCTCATTAATTCATTTATTGTAAATGTGTTTTTTAAATAAACAGTGATTCTGTTATAATAAGTTCATAAA